TTTTTTTTTTTTTTTTCCCTAGGATTTATTGTTCCCATTGCTTTTCCAGATTGACTCCTGGTGCAAGGAGAACAGCTACGTGATAGCTGGATATTACCAGGCGAACGAACGCGTGAAAGATGCCAGGTGTGTTGGGCCAAGCTTTCCTTCTGTTTGCTCTTTTAAGCTGTACTTTGGACTCTGCCAGCAGAAATCATCCCCATAAATCAGGCGTGTTGATTCGCTCTGACAACTGTCAGCTGCTTCCACATTGTCTCCGTGGGGCTGCGGGATGTGGCCTTTGGTCAGGTGCAGAAAGTCCAGGCTTTGCAGAATCCCTCCTCTCCCGTGGCTGCTATAAAAGGCCWCTCTTTGAACGAGTGCCAGCCACTTTTAATTGCAGTTGTCAGGGAAAAAGCCAAAATCTGCGGAGTGTTTGCTCGTGCAGTATGGATCTTGTAAAGTCTGGCGACTCCCAGGTTCTTATGGAAAGTCAGAAGTGACCTAATTCCTTCTAAATTTCTTAATTATCTCTGAGTTTTTTCAAAGCATTTTTTTTACATGGTAAAAGAATGCTTTTGAGGTGGAAGATGATGTCAGTCAAGCAGTAATATCTCTTATTTATCACTTCTTTTCCCCAGGATTAGTCATTTTGTTCCCTGCTGGCTGACTCAGATTACTCACTAAGCATTAAGGGACCTTCCTGTGGAGCCAGTTTAATTTTAGATCTGTGTATTCCAAGTTTTCCCCTCCATCTATTGGAAAAATCCAAAATTGGGACTAACGAGAATAAAAACAACTTACTTGAACTATTATGCCATGTTCCCTGGAAGTGTCCARGGTTGGATGGGGCTTGGAGCAACCTGGGATAGTGGAAGGTGTCCYTGCMCATGGCAGGGGGTGGAATGARAGGATCTTTAAGGTCTCTCCCAACCCAWATCATTCCATGATGATCTGATTCCGGTTTTTTATTAATGTATATTCAGACTCAATTACGTTTTTTAAGGAAACCCTTGTGACTTCTGAGATATCTAACAGGGATAAAGACATTATTTGTGCTTTTCTCACAAAGGAAATAAATCTGCTGGACACGTTTTTAAGGAGAAAACACATTTTGTTCTCTTTGAGGTTTGAAAGAATATCACAGGCTTGATGTTTTCTTAAAACTTCAGTTTAATTTCTGAAGATAACTGGCACCACACAGGGATTGTCATTGGCACCACATTAAGTGGCACCACACAGAGATTGTCACTATTGAAACGTGATAAAGGGTTTCAAAGGTTATCTGATTTTGGTAGAGAAACCAGACAAGTTTCAAGTGCAAACCAGGGAGAAAACTCATTTTCTCTTTTAAATGCCTGCCAGATCAGAGTCTTTGGTCTGAGGGGGGAAGATAGAAGGCCACCAAATGTTGATTCCCTGTCATTCCAAAGCCATTTCCTAAGCCCAGCTGAGCTGCAGGTCGGGAGCTGCAGAGTCTTCTATCAGCTGTGCCATCAGCTCCTTATCTTGTTGCTGTTTCAAGCACCCAGAGTCACTCTCACATCTCTCTGAGCTCATTTCCTGCTGCTCTCAGCTGCTGCTCGTGCCTCCCATCACTCAGTTCCTTTTCCTTTCTGCTCCAGCCCAAACCAGGTCGCAGAGAAAGTGGCTTCCCGGATTGCCGAGGGTTTTACGGACACGGCGCTCATCATGGTAAAGAGCTTCCTTCCCCTCACCCCTGGTGTGTTCTGATCCTGCTGGTGGAGCAGGGAAGAGCTGTTTTCTGGCTCCTTCAGTGAGGAATTCAGGTTCTCTTCCCCTCTGAAATGCTCTGGGGAGATCTGCAGTGAGCAGTGAAGTTCAAAGTAAATCCACAGTGAGATTGTGGTGAGCTCTCTGTCACCTCAGAGGGACTGGAGACCTTCTCTGCATATTCAGGCAGCAATTTCTGGCTCCAGCCCTCCTTGTGCAACTTAAAATCTTGTCTTTAAAGTCACAAACAGAGCTTTACCTCCTCACTGTTGTAACAAAGGACGCTGGCACCTTAAATTTGGCTATTTGAGAATAGAACAATAGATGGGTGTAAAATACTCTGGTTTTACAAACTGATTTGGGTTTACTTCATCCCTTGGGCTGTGGAGGAGGAGGCTGAGGTGATGTTTCTCTCTCCCACCCCAGGTTGACAACACCAAGTTCACCATGGAGTGTGTGGAGCCTGCCATCCACGTGTACGAGCTGCACGAGAACAAGTGGAGGTGCAAGGACCCACATGTGTGAGTACAGAGGGGATTTCTTGGGGTTTGGGGAGTGAGGAAAAACAAGATTTTTTGTGTGAGGGCAAAACTTTATGGCTGAGTGGTGCTGTAGGTGTAGCTGGCAGGGATTTTGTAGGAAGAGGGAGCACGGCCGTGGTATCCCCACCGTGTCCACGCTTCAGTGTGGCTGAATTTCCCCAAATTTTTTTTGGTGATTCCTATTTATCCCTGCTTCTTTTCCATCCTAGTGACTTCTGTGAAGATTGGACTGAGGCCCAGAGAATTGCTGCATCCCTCTTGGACAGCAAGTCCTACGAGACGCTGGTGGATTTTGATAATCACCTGGATGACATCCGGAACGACTGGACAAACCCCGAGATCAACAAAGCTGTGCTTCACCTGTGCTAGGAGCAATCCTGACTAATCCACRGGCATTCCCACTCTGTACTGAAGAGAGAAAAAATGCTATTTTTGAATGTAAATAGAATTAATATTCAGTACCTTGTGTGGAAAGCTGACTGATTAAAGAGGAGTGGCCTGTCCYGTGGCGCGGTGCTGTGTCCCTGAGCCACGGAATGTTGGTGGTGGCATTCCCTGGAAGAGCTGCCAGCTGTCACTTCCAGCTGTCCTCGTGGACGCCGTCCCACTTGTAGTGAATGTTGCTATTCCTTGGAAATCAGAACTGCTTCTGCTTGGCCCCCACTGTTCCTTTTCCGAAGTTTTGACTTGGGCTTTTCTAATCTTTAGAGAGGTTACTTTTTAACGATTTATGGAAATAACCTTTCCAAAAAAAATCAATCCTGTCCTCAGATGAGAGATGTTAAGGGCAAACAGATAAAATGGGAGGTGAATGGTTTTCTTCTGGCCTGGGTTGGAATTGTAACTCTCTTGGCACAGTAAAATTCGAACTGCTGAGGATGTTCCATGCTCATGTGTCACCTGTTTTGCAGTGCTTTAGCATGACACAGCTACAGAGAGTCCTTTAAAGCAGTATTCCCAAATAATCTGGTGATTCCTGCTCTCAGTGGGCTTGGCAAGCACAGTTACTGCTTGAATGTGTTAAACTCCAAGTAAACAATTTATAAAAAGGACTGGAAGCACACTACTGAGTTTGAATCCACACTTTGAGTCTACAGTAGTGCAATACTTWTATTAATTTCATGCATTTGGGGAGGTGGGGGGCAGTTAATCAGCAAATCTCATTTTCCATGTGGTATCTATTTAATCAGGTCCAAAATACTCCCTCTGAGTTGAAGGCGAGTGATCCAAGTGCATGGAATAGAGGAGCCTGGGTACAGCCTGGTTCAGCTTTCCTTGTCTTTCCCATTAATATTTCTTTCCAAGGAGAAGTTTCTGGACAATGCAGCTTTGTACCAGACTAGAAGAGCTCTTTGTAAGCCTTTGTTGCCTCACTCCTCGTGGTCGTTTGCCCAGCTGTAGTTAAACCCAACCTCAACCTGCAACAATTCCTCCAGATTTCCTTCTCTTCCTGCCAGAAATGTTTTTACAAGGAAGATGCAAATATCCATAAAGTGATCCGCCTGAGTCCAGTCTTAGAGTTAAAATCACTGCAAGGTTTGGGTTGGAAGGGATTAAAGATCATCTCATCCCATGGGCAGGGCTGCCTTGCACCAGACCAGATTGTTCTGAGCCCCATCCAACCTGGTTTTGTTTTAAAACAGGGAAAATGGGATTGTCAGAACCTCTTGATTTTGATTCAATAAGCTCAAGTTTCACTCCTGGTCTTGGAGAGAGATGGGGTAAGGCTAAAATCCCATTTGTGCAGGAAACAGGATCTGGATGGCTCCAGGCTGTGGAGTTCCCTCCAGGTGAGATCCCAMAAKGTGAGATCCCAAAAGGTGAGATCCCACAAGGTGAGATYCCACAGGGCCACGAGGTGAGGCTGGAGGGAGGAGAGGAAGGTTTGGACACTTTGTTTTTTATCTCCCTGCTGTGCAGGAGTGAGGTGTGATTACAAAGAGATTGGCAGCGAGTCAGGAACCCTCCCTAGGCTGAGTCAGGCTTGCAGGAGAGGGAAATGTTTGCACTTGTTGACTGAAAACATGGATTTAGCTCCCAAAAACAGTGAGATAACATACTCCAGCGGCTGCTCCTCTCCACATCTGTAGGAAAAGATATCCTGGGAGCAGATAGCAGAGCACCCAGGCTGCAGGAAGAGGACTTTGTACAAACACCCAGTGAAATCCAAGGCGTTGTTCCAGAGGCAGATGTTATCTTAGCGAGATTCCTCGTGTGGGGTTGTCAGAAGAAGCTGCTGAGCCGCAGGAAAAGTGTTTCTTGTTCTTTGTAGCAGGATTTCCTCATCGAGCTTTGATCATCCATATGCAAATTGAGGCTAATCCTGCTTCCCCTGTAAGGCAGAGTGTCTCCTCAGCGTGCAACCTGCTGGAATATTCCCTGTGACTAACCCAGGACACACTGCTGGGAGGGGAGCAGCTTTTAGTACTTTGTCTTCCTCTTTTTTCATCTTCCCTGTGCTTTTAAATGAGGATTTTTTTTTGCCACCAGCAGAACCCAGGCCGGCTTTAAGCAAAAAGAACCAGAGCAGCAGATCTTATCTCCCCTGGCCTATTTGCATTGAAGGCTGGACAAAAGCAGCAATTCCATAAATCCAGGCAGCCACCAGTGGCTCTCCTGAAAGAATGAGGAAGCTGCAGGGCACAGGGAAGGCTGTGTTCCTCTTTCCTGCTGATGCTGCTTTCCTGGMTGGTTGATCAGTTGGATTCAGCGCAGGAATTCAAGGTAATTCCTTCTAAAAYTTCATGGGGAGGGAATCTTGGGAAGGCAGCTCTTGCTGGAGACTTTGTGATGGCTGGGAAGGCAGCACTGGGAATGGGTGTCCTACTCCTTTTTGGTTTGTTAGCAATTAATGATGTGCAGGTTTCATTTTTTTTCCCTCCAGCCACCAAAATTTGGAGATTTGGCATTTGCCTGCCCAGATGTTTTAACTCCARCTTTRACTTTTTACCTCATCTGCACRAYCTGAAGCACTTGGAAACTGTARAATCATGGGATGGTTGGGGTGGGAAGGGATCTTAAAGCTCATCCCATTCCACCCTCTGCCATGGGCAGGGGCATCTTAAATGAACCCAGGGTGCTCCAAACCCTGTCCAGCCTGGCCTTGGGCACTGCCAGGGATCCAGGGGCAGCCACAGCTGCTCTGGGCACCCTGTGCCAGGGCCTTCCCATCATCACAGGGAACAATTCGATCCCAATATCCCATCTAAATGCACCCTCTGGCAGTGTGACCCCATTCCCTGTGTCCTGTCCCTCCATCCCTTGTCCCCAGTCCCTCTCCAGCTCTCCTGGAGCCCCTGCAAGGGGCTCTGAGCTCTCCCTGGACCTTTCTCCTCTCCAGGTGAACTGCCCCATCTCTCCCAGCCTGTGGGGTTCCTTTTTTCTCCACTCTGAAACCTGTTTTTCAGAACAGTAACAAACATCCCCACAGGTAGACGGGTGACAGGAGCTCCCCATCAGCCATGGGGTGCCAGTTCCGGGGCCCTCACAATTTAGTACCTGTTCCCAGGGAATCCCAGCTCCCCCATTCCCCCAGATCTCATCACTGTGTGCGTATATGAGGATTTGGGGAAGTTTTCCCATCCATCCAGCCTGCTGCCGGCATTCTCCCTCTTCCCATCTGCTCGTGGGATGTTCCCTCCCCTAGGAAAGCGAGCAGAGATGTAACAGCTCCTGCTCTTGGAGCTGAGGTGGATGCAGGAGCAGGTGAGGGGTTCAGAGGTCGCCTGGCACAGCTGGAACCGGGAGCAGCCAGATGTGCAGAGCCCACCCCTGCCCCCGGGAACTCCTTGTGCGAGTGGCAGGCGAGGAGAGGTGACAGTGACAGATGCAGGAAGCGGTGCCGGGTCTCTGTGCCGCCTGGCTCCCGGCCTAATCGCTGCACTCCGCGATCGGGGAAGCGTCTGGAGATGCCGCTGGAGGAGGGCACGGCCGCGGCACAGCGAGGCTGATGCTAATGGAGGAGGCTGTTAGCGGGGTGGGCTTGCGGTTGAGTGCAGCTTGGAAAATGGCCTCGAGGGGAAACGGGCTGGATCTGCGAGCTCTGCTTCTCGTTCGGGTGGAATTCAGCTCCTGGAGCACCCTGGGCTGGTCCCGGCCGCTCCCCTCCCGTCSTGCCCGGGTTCTGCTGTTCCCAACTGGAGTTCAGCACCTCAGCACATCCCAATCCTGCGCCACAACCCCGTCCTTGCATCCCCCAGCGCCCTGACCCAGCCCTCCCGCAGCCGGCAGCGCTCTCTGTGTGTCCAAGGATCCGCTGAGGACTTTATCGATTTCCCTTTTTTTTTTTTTTTTTCCACTGTCGCTTTTAGACCACATCTTCACCCAGCCTTCTCCTCCCAAAGTAAACCCCAGCTGCATCCCTTCCTTTCTGTTTTCCGTGCGAGGCGGCGGAGAGGAAGGAGACGGGGGGCTGATAGGGGGGACAGCGCTCCTTCGTGTGGCACTTCCAGCCCGCCGGAGCTGGGATGAGGGAAGCGGGGAACTCTGCTCTTAAAAACACCCGGTAGGTGGGCAGGGGCCGAGGGGTCACTCCGGGAGCGCTTGCAGGCAGCGCCGCTCCGGCTGGATGCGGGCAGGATCCGTGCCAGGCATGACCCGCTCTGCGCACRGCCAGCCCKCCCAGGCCCGGCAAAACCACGCAGCCCTTCCTAGAAACGCGCCCCGGAGCTTAATAGATGGACCTAATTGAAAAACCCTACCGGGCTTGTAGCAGGGGATAAAAGGGAAAGCCGGGCCCAGATTAAGCTGGAGCTCAGCGAGCCGGGAAGCGCGGCAGCCGTGGCCAGCTCCCCGAGCCAATTCCCGGCCGTGGCCTCCCGGCTGAATCCATGCCGCCAGGGCCGGGGTTCGTTCTGGATGCAGGAGAGCCCGGCATTCTCCGGCTCAGTGCCTCAGGTACGTGCTCGCTTCCCGCTTGGCTCCCGACCCTCCGGCTCCCGCCTGGTCCCGCTGGATTTTCTCCGGGGGCGCTTCCAGCCCACGCGGTTCCTGCCGGTTCTCACTCTGCCGGTCCTGCCAAGAGCCCGTGCTTGGGGAAGGCTGGAGCTGCTCCAGTTTCCCCGGAGCCTGCATCTTCAGCTGCCTCCTCGTGACATCCTCCTCCCTCCCTCTCTCCCTCCCCACGCCTGGCAGCCCCTCCGGGTGCCTCTCCAGCCCTGGAGCGCTGTGGAACTCCAGGAGGGAGTTCCTTCCCCCCTCCCAACGCTGGTTGCCACTTCCAGCTCCAGCGAGCCCCGGGCAGGACCCTTCAGCTCCTTTCTGGGGCARCCCTTTCCCCTGCTGGGGCCAGAAGGGATGGGGGCAGGAGGGGACAGGTGGCCTCGTTGCTCTGCTAGCACGGTGACGTGTCACCTGCGTTAGCAGACCCTGGCACTCGGTGACCCAGAAAGCTGCTTCCTCCCCTCCCTGCCCACAGGGCCCAGCTGGTGTTTGCAGGARCAGCTCCCCAAAGGGAGCCAAAGCTTTCCCTGTGCCCGGTGTTTGTTAAACACGTCCCTGTCCCTGCGGTTCCTCTGGCGCCTGCTGCCCTCCATCCTCACCCCTAAGCAGTGCCCCAGGGCTGGATGGAGCTGGAGGGTTGGGATGCACTGGGAGAGGAGCAAAAGGTACCAAAGGGTCACAGCCAGGGCTGGAAAACAGTCAGGGACCACTTCAGGGGACAGCCAGGGGCTGGCCAGCTCTGCCCCTGGCAGTGAAGGTGGCTCCATACCCACCCATCCCCTGAGCCCATCCTCTTCCTCCCCATGGCCAGCTCTTGGTGGGCYTTGGCCACTTGCCCTGATGTGATCCTCAGCAAGTCACAGCTCAGAGCCCTGTGACAGGAATCAGGAACTCCTGGAAGGGATCTGGGAGTCTCACAGTGACCCTGGGAAGGGGGTGTTGAACCCACTGTGCTGCTGCTGCTCCTGGCACTCAGCTCTCCCTAACCCTGGTCATCCATCAGTGACCAGAACTCCACACCAGAGGGGCTCCACGCCGTTCCCAGCTACCTCAAGATGCAAAACCCCCATTTTTTTAAACCTGCACAAAGGCTTTTGTTTTGTTTCCCAGCCCTGGGAAGACAGGAAGGGGTGTTTGACGCTGTGTTTGTGCCTCTYAGGTGTCAGCAGAGCAGCTGGAGCTGTGCTGCACCCGCAGAACTAACCACAGGTATTTTAGCAGCCTGGTGTTTATGTTTCCTTCCCCTGCTGCAGCAAGACAATCGCTTTCTGTCACCGTTGTAGCAACAACTGCTGCTCCAGGCCAGGCTAATTCCAGCCCTCGTGGGTTTGGGGCTGTTTGTTCTCACCCAGCAGCAGCAAACAGGTAGTTTTGGAGACAGGCAGCAAAATAGCTCAGTGTGGGGGCGGGATTTGTGCTGCTGTGACCGGATTTGTGCTGCCAGGGAGTGATCCCTGGCATCCACGGGATGCTGCGTGCTCTGAGTTTGGGATGGGATCTRGAAAGATCAGGTTTGCCAGGCTCTGCTTCAGGACTTGTCCTCAAACTCCTGGGTTTCGCAGCTGAACAGGAGAAGAAAAAGGAGAAGTAAATTGGTTAATTYGTTGGTTTTCTGTGGAAAGAAAGAAAGGAGCTGTGGGTTGTGAACATCTCTGGGCAGCACTGTGCCTGCAGCTGGAGCTGCAGCCTTGCCCCTGTGCCACCCTCCCCGCTCCTGCAGCTCCGTSAGGACTCAGTTATTTGACAAATCGGAGGAGTCAGATCGGGAAGGAAATCAGCTCTCCCCAGATTTATGATTTTCATCAGACATGGCAGGCCCAAACCAGCAGAAAGCAGAGCAAAACCACCCATTTCCTCTCCCTGCCGCCCTTTCTGCCCATCCCAGCCGGGCTCGGTGGGGCTCTGATCCCACCGGACACCTCCCAAACTCCTGGGATCTGCCCTCTCCCGATTTCGGGGTGAAGTTCCACGCTTCCCCTCCTTTCCCTTCCCTGCCTCCCGCAGCCGGGGGGTGTTTAATGTGCGGCCGGCGTTCCCCGCAGCCCGGCGCCCTGCATTTGAACCGCTGCTTTTCAGCTCCGGCTGGAAAGGAGCCGGCGCGGGGCCTCGCCTCTTAATTGCGGAGGAGGGGAACATGGAAAAGCCTCTGGCTGCTGCTAATGCAGGCGAAGGCGGCTGCTCCGGAGGCGCAGCTTTCTCCCGGGCATCCTCCCAGCGGGGTGGGACCCGACCCGGAGCGCCCGTCCTGGGAATGGTGAGGAACCCGCCGCTGTTCCCGCTGCCGGGCTGGGTTTGGGGCTGGGAAGGGCAAAAAAATCCTTTCTGGAAGCTGGYGAAGGTGGAGGTGCTCCCAGAGGTTGATGTCTCTTGCCATCAGGACCTCAGGGATGGCGCTGGGTTTTGTCGGAGCTGGGTGTGGACGCTCCCACCGAACTGGCACTCGCCTTTCCGGGCCTTTGGTAGCCCGCTGGCTCCGCATTGTGCCCGGGGGGCTTTGCCCGCAGCCGAGAGCGCTCCTTTCTGCCTTTCTCTCKGCTCTGGACTGGCTTGTGCAGCGGGCTGAGAGTAAAGCAGCGTTTCCTCATCACCCCAGGGCTTTGCCGGGCACGGCTGGCGCTGGGCTGGGGGCTGGATGGGAGGAGCCGGCGCTCCGCTAACCTGATTAACCAGGTTCCCAACCAACCTCGCCAAAGCCACCTCCTGCTGCCCTCCTGCCGGTCCTGCCGGGAGCCCCCCGCCCGCCTCCGGCACCCAGGAGCAGCCGGGTGCGGTGGGAGGTGGGATGAGACCGCGGGCATCGCTCCTGCGGGCACCGGGTAAGTGCCACCCCCTGGGAGCCCCGGCTTTGTCCCGTTTTTCCCTTCCCGGTGCATCCCCGAGTGTCCCCCGTGCCCGGGCAGCTCGGTCCCCGCTCCGGTGACGCCTGCGATGAGCGTCTGGGGGTTTTTGGAGCGTGAACTCGCCGGGATGCAAACAATTCTTTGGCCCGGTGCTGGCACACGGGAGCGAAGTTGGAGCCTCGAGAGAGTGTCAGGGATCCCGCTGGAATGCTGGCAGGGGGAATTCTCTCCCCAAGCTTTGGTGATGGAGTTTGGCTCTCAGGAGGATCAGATCTCCCTGTGCACGACCCTCCTCTKTCCCTGAGCGGTGTGAGCCACCTATAGGTGCCAAAACCCACAGGATTTGCCTCAAAACCAGATTTCCTCATATTTGGGCAGTGTCCCAAAGTGGGGTCCTGGGGAAGACATCACTCCCTGCCCCTTAGGGGGGGTCACATGAGGACCTGATGAGCAGCTGATAAAAATGAAGAATTAAAAGCAGAGAGGGCAAATTTTCACTTCCTCTTGCCGCTGCTGCCAACCCACCTCAGAGCTCCTTGGAAAGGCAGAGGTCAGGCAGGGGGAGCTGAGGCTTTCCTTGGCTCTCTGTGTGGCCCGGAGCTTGGAAGAGCCAAAATGAGTCACTGACCCTCATCCCAATAAGCTTTTCCCAGCAGCTGTGGGAGGAGGGGTGAAGATTTCCCAATAAAGGGACTTTTTTTCGGCAGAAAAATTTCCAGCATCTTAAAAAAGTGACGTCCCACGGGGGGAATCATCCATCTAAAAGCTCTCAGGGCATCAGGAATGCCCAAGAGGACGAGGATGATGTGAATTCCAGCAGTGCATCTCGGAGGGAGGCAGCCCCAGGAGCATCCCTCTATTTCTTGCGTGTGGACTCGGGGTTTTCTCTACAAGAACCAACCTAAAACCAACCCAATTCCTCCTGCTCATCCCGAAATCCTTTCAGCCCAGACCCCAGGAGSAGAGAAGCTGGGCTGGGACCCTTCACCCAATAACAGACTTTATCTCCACCCTCCCCAAAAGTTCTTCCCGAACCTCATCGGACGAGATCGAGTCACCGGAGCGCCGTGACGTCAGCCGTGGTTTTTTTGCGAGCGAGCAGTTGCGTTTCCTGTGGTGCCCGGGCTCCTATAGATAGAGACAGGCACGGAGAGATGTGAGCTTTTAGCTCCTGCTCCTTCCTCCTTCCTCCCTCCCAGGATTGCTCCTCAACCCTCGCCTCTCTTTCCCAGCGCCAGCGGAGAGGGCCGGCGGCGGAGCTGGAGAGCCGGGTCCCGCTGAGAGGATGAAAACATGGGGCTCAAGTTATCCTGCCTGAAAGGTGAGTTTGGGACACGGGGTTTGGGGGTGTCTTCTGCTYTCTGAAGGTATCCAGGGGTTGGTTGTACCCGGAGGAGCTTTTGGGATTGGTGGAGTTTGGGGTTGTGGTGGAATTTCTGACTTCACGGGTGACCTGTTGCTCCTGGATGAACCCAGAGGRGATTTTCCCAKCCYGRTTGCCCCAGTCCTGTSCTTGTCCTRCACCCTTTGCTCTGGAGAATCCATGGGTCAGTGGCAGCCCTCAGGAACTCAGCTGGGCTGTGTTTGGAGGCAGGAAAGGGTGAGCCTGGATGGGATTTTTAGGGATACAGGGATGGGATGCAGGGGTCAGCCCCATGCCAGCATCCCGGTTCCCGGCCCCCTGGCTGACCCCGAGCATCCCTCACTRCCCCACTCCCCCCAGGGATACTCCAACCAGGAGCTTCTTCCCCAACTTTAATTTTCTTAATGGATTTAGGCCGGGAATGGCGTCAGGGATGTCTGCACAGGGGGAAAGTGGGAGCTTTTAATGCTCCTGGCCTCGTAGGGCGAAGGCTGGATATCGCATCTCCCATTAGCTCTGCGTCCCCCTGACTCCTRTTAATCATCCTTGGGGTCCTTAGGGATGGGATTTAATGAGTATCACTCGTAGATGCAAGGCTTGCCTCTGCCCTGGCTTTTCCCAGGCCCAGATTTGGGAGTTTCTTGCTGTGATGGGTGCAGAGTTGGGAGCATCACCCAGAAATGATCTCTGTCCCTTCTCTGCATCAGGTCTGGGAGGTTTGGGGGTCCCACAACCCCTCCAGTCCAACTGAAGAAGGGAAGCAAGCAGCCAGGGAATCCCAATCCTGCCCMAAATCCAGGCAGAGCCCCAAAAATATTCCCCCATGCATCCAGACCCCTGTGACGAGCTTGGAGCCTGGAATAAAAGAAAAGACCCTCCCCCCTTTTACAGCTCCTTTACATAAGGCAGGGCTTTATCCTTAATTAAAAAGAGATTAAAAATATCAGTGTCTGTCCCCTCYGGGCATATTCCTGCTTGGGAAGAGCTGAAACCTCCCTGGTTGCTGCCTGTGCCGCACGGGGCTTTTCTCCTGATTAAAAAAGCAGATTAAAGCGATCTGCTCCCCTCAGGGGGAGTGGGCTGGGCAGGTGGTCGGGGCAGGGGGGGATCCAGCTATGAAACCCCCCAAAATCCAAGGTGTATCTGGGAAAGGAGATGTGAGGATGCTGTGGATTCTCGGAAAGGGTTGGGATGGAGGAGGGCGGGGAGCGGGGGGTGCTGCGGTGATCCCGTGCCCGATCTCCCGTTTCATCCCTCTTTCATCCCCCAAATTTCCCCAGGCTTGAAAACGTGCGTGAGCAGCGGGAACGGCGGCGACGGGACCCTGGCGGCGTCCTCGGGACAGAAACACCTGCACGTCCCCTCCATCATCGTCACACCGCCCACGCCCACGGGGACAACGCTGTCCCGGGAGGGGCGGCGCGGAGGGGCCCCGTCACCCTGCAGCCAGTGCTGAGCGGGGACACGGGGGACAGCCAGCCCCGCAGGACCTGTCCCCGCCCCGCCGGGATGGAGCCGCAGCCTCCAGGACGCGGCTCGGCCGGCTGCAGCTCGGCCCCACGCCCCTTGGGTGGGTTTGGACAGCAGGGACTGGGTTGTGTCCCTTCTCCTGACAGCGCTGGGGAAGGGGATCCCCCCCGATGAATAAAACCCCCGGGGCTCCGCACCCCAGTTTTGGCACCGGTTCGKCTGTGTCGGCACAGGCGGGGTGGGTTGTGACCCCAAAACACCCCAGCGCCACCCCCCGGAACCGCGCTCGTGCTCGTGTGTGGCCAAAAGTGGGGTGTCCCCCCCAACCTGTCCACCCGGGATTGAGGAATCCATTCCAACAAACAGCACCGGGAAAATGAACTCGGCGTCACCCGCATCCCGGCGGATCGGCCGCATCCCGGCAGGGAGCCGGGGGCGATGCTTCCCGGGGAGCGGCGGCACCCGGAGCCGGCGGGAGAGGCGGGAGTGTGAAAGCAGATGGAAATTTAATTTTTTAATGACAGCAGCAGATGGCAAAAGACACGCGAGGGGAGGCGCAGCACGGGGGAGACGTTCCTGGAGCGCCCGACACGTGCCGGCGGCACCGGGGGCTGCTCCAGGAACCGGGGATCGGGGACCCTCCTGTGCCACCCATGGCGAGGGTGGGCTGGGGGTCCCCAAGGCTTGGCTACCACCCATTCTGGGGGTAAAGCTCATCCCAAGAGCCGTGCTTGCTCCATGGGTGGTCCCAGAGATGAGCCTGAGGTGGTTTGGGAGAGGCACTGGGGAGGGGTGGGTGTGTTTGGGGGGGTTTTTCCATGGGGGATGGCAAATGGGATGCAGCTCTCTGGAAT